GAACTTCTCTTCGCAACATGTTGTTCCTATTCACACAGAAATACACTCCTAAGAATTTATTTTAAATTTATTTTACACTCCTAAGATTTTAGAGATGTGGGGACATTGATAGACGAATCTTGGGCTGTCCAAATCCTATACAAGAATTAAAGCATCTCTTTTGCCCTTGAAACTCCTCGCTTGCCAACGAAGCAACGTGTCAATAAGACCACAAGGATCCAAGTGATTCGTGAAGGGTGAAGGAGGCGGGTTAAGAAATATGAAAAATACATCAACATTTCTTTAAATCTCCCAAATCTCCCAGCAGAAAATCACTTAAATCATTTGCTGCAGCAGCCCACACGCTTCAGCCTCCTTCCTTCCTCTGCTTCCAGGCCGTGGAGGAACCAATGGGCCCGACTTTCTCCCGGCTTCTCCTCCGACCTTCCCTCCACTCACTTCCCAGGAGCCGCTTCGACCCTCCAAACGGCACAAGAGGCTCCGCCGACACCAAATTACTCCACTGCCTAAGCCGGAAGAGGAAGTTCTTCTGATCTCCTTTCCTCCACGTCCTCTCTAGTAATCTAATACACTATCGCTTCAATTCGCTCCAGCTCGGCCTCTTTCCTTCCGGTATAATGTCAACAGCAGCGGTGCCGCTGCTGTATTCTATTAACTTCTTTCAAAGGCGCGAGTGTTGCTTCTTTGTAGAGCGCCATCTAGCGACACAGGGTTGAAAATCACCCTCGTCCTACCTCTACCCTAAAGCGTTCGCAAGAGGCTTTCATGGATTCCGTGGTTCCTTCTGTGTATTCGACCCCCACCGAGCACACGAATAGCTTTCGTCCATGAGTGTCTATCCTAAACCTTTCCTTTCAAGTCTCCCAAGAGTTCACTTATTGCAACTCTTGCTCCAACTAAACCAAAGGAAAGCTTCCGGGGTGGTGGGGGGAGAGAATGACGTATAACAGCCAACCTGAAAGTGAACCTCCCTTTGGGGCTGGTGAATATTGATCCAGCCAATTTTCAAGGCGGGTGGTGGTGGTGGAGATGCAGAACTCCTCCAACCCTGCCTTGGCAAATGGTTGAAGAAAATCACAGGGGCCAATTTTAAATCATGCAGCAAAAGGATTAAAAAAAACATTTGGGGAGAGAAAAAAATATGCAGCAGCCCGCAGGTTTCATTCTTCTCCCTTCGCTGCTTCTATCTACGCCGTAGAGGAACCTAAAGGACCCGACTTGCTTGCTTGCTTATTTCTCCTCCGGCCTCCCCACCACTCACCTCCCTGGAGCCGCTTCGAACTTCTAAGCCGCACAAGACTTGGCCGACGCCATCATCCTCTCCTAGATCAACCAGAATGGGAACTACCTCTTCCCACCTTTGCTTCACGTCCACTCTAGCAATCTAATACTCTATCGTTTCAATAGGCTCAAGCTCCAACTCTTTTTCCGGTATATTGTCAATAGTAGGGATGCCGCCGCTGTATTCTTTTCTCTTCTTTCTGGGGGATTCTATGTATAGCGCCATCTACCGTTCTTTCTGTGCCATTACGTCGTATTCGACTCCCAACGCGGGATGGGGGTGCAGAACTCCTCCAAACCTGCCTTGACAAATGATTGAAGTTGTAATAGTTAAGCTGTTGAATGGAAGGCTCTCGCCCTGGTCTCTCCTTTAGGGTCTACTAGGGACGTCCTCACTGTCACTGCAAGTGAGCCAGGAGCTTCTTTTGCAGGGACTAAACCAAGGGAAAGCATCCGTGGGGGGAACACAATGTGCCATCAGGCAGGGACAAAGCGCACCTCCCTTCAGTATCAGTGAAGAAGATTCTATCCAGTTCTTTATCTTGTGGATGCAGGATAACTCCCCAAAGCTATATTTAGCAACTGAGGGAAGCTTGAAGAGTGATGCTTAACACGACTTAGCTTCACAAGATTACCAGGTGCTGCACCATAAAAATTGATCAAAGTCTTGTTTGCATGTGCAGCCTTAAACAATTGCCACCTTCATATCCCTTTAATAGAAGAATGAAATAGGGGACAAAACCTTGAAGTGCCCTTTCAAACCCATCTAGATAGGAGATATTATTTCCCCCTCTTCATTCTTGCAGCTGGAACTGCCAGGATTACCCTCAGTAA